GTGGTAATTGGATCAGATTATTTTTATATAATTCAAACGCTAATTTAATTAAAACATAAATATCATATATATATTAAAAGCAAAATATATTAAAAATAATTGGATATCAAATGCTAAATTGTGTGTTTGATATATATATATGATATGTGTAATATATATAATTAACTAATTAACTAATTTAAAGTATTAAAATGAAGATCATATAAATACTATAGAAAAGCATAGCCTATGCCAAGATTTTTTTAAGTAATTGTTATAGCTGAAGTAATTTTACTTCTCTTGGAAAGCTTCTTTACGTACGCTTGAATGCGGGCAGAAGTTGTGCGCCACGCTTAAAAATATTACAAAATTCCCGATGTGAAATGTATCTTTTAAGGGACACCTTATATTCCATTAGGTGTCACACTATAATATTTTGGAGTATAACGGAAAGTAAATGGTGGGGTCAATTTTGATATTTGAGCAGTGGGGAACCCAGGGATCTAAATGCGTGTCGTGGTGTTTATGATTGGCAGCTAAAAAAACACAGGGAGAGTGTTAGTTACAGTTGTTATGTTCGAACTAATGGGCAGTAATGTATTCGATTATTAGTGTTAAAATACATATAGGTGGAAATGTAAGATTTGCTTTGCTTGCTAGGGATTATCACCGCAACTTATAATTTACAGAATACTTAGATTTAAACAACAACTACGGATATCGTTTGCCATTATGATAGTTTAATTTAATACTTGCTTACTTGTTTTCATCTTTATTCGAAAGCTATTGAGATTTCTTCATTATATATAATGGTGTTTCATCGAGACCAGCAGGAGTGATAAAAATTATTGATAGACTTAAATGAGAAACCATTTGGAATTGCACTTCAATAACTGAAACACAACAACAGATGTAAGTGATTTAGAAATAGAATTGTTTGGAGTAAATATGTTGTGCCTCTAAACTGTAACAAGAACGACTAATACTGTATAAATGTGAGTTCTGATAATTTAAGTAAAAATTATTGCATATAAAATTAATTTGGTGAAGACGTAGAAACCTTTATTGACCGTGTATTTAGTTTCTTGGGAAATAAAATTAGTTTTCCATATTAATTTACTTTCTTACAAAATTAACTCCACTTCAAGTTGAGAACACCATTAGATGCTACCATTTCAATGAAATTGTTTACTGGAAAGTTATTCATGAAACAATTCATAATTACAAAGTCCAACTAAAAACTACAAAAAACCTAATATTATTACTTATAGCTTTAAAGTTCAAATCAAGTTATCATATATAATGTTCAAAAAGTGTAATGAACATTTAAAAAAATATTTTGTCATATAGTTGTTATTTTTTGTTAAGTACATTACAAAACTCAACTGATTAAAAATTTTTTGTACTAAATTTATTTTATTTGAGATATTAAAATATAAAGAGACTTGGGATGAGTAATAGTTACTTGAATTTTGTTGAGGTATTTTATGCCTCCAACAATAACCTACCTCCAGTAGAGGTTGCGAAAGCAGCTCGCGCGCACTGGGACACTTTACCATCTAAAGAAAAACATAAGTACCATGTAGAGAGCAATGAGACCGCTGAGAACCTCCAAGATGACTTGGCTATGGAATGTGGAACATGTGGTAAGAAAAAGAAGAACCCTTGTGCGAAAAAAAAGAAGAAAACTTGTCCCAAGAAGAAGCGTAATCCCTGTGCTAAGAAGAAAAAACCATCGTGTAAGAAAAAGCCTAATCCGTGCAAGAAGAAGAAAAAGCGTCGTCAAATTTGTTGCTAATAAGTAACAAATTTTCAATGCAGACTGGAGTAAAAATGTGAGTATAAATTTAAATAAATTTTTGACAACTAATTTTAAAAAATTTTATATACATAGAATTAGGTGGAAATTTTCAACTCTTGTTTCCAGTCTGTTAAGTCCACCGGACAAAAAACAGGTCAAAAAACTGTAAGTTTTGTTACATTTTTTAATTATATTAATTTAAAATACACATTTTTTGCGGAATAATATAATGCTACATGTCTATATCTTTTGTTGTATGAAAAAAAAATTTATTGCCTTTAATATCTAACCACTGACTGGCGTTAAAAATGAAGTCAAAATAATTTTTTTTTAAGTAGAACTTAAATACATTTTTTGAAGCTTCTATTCTTCGGACAGATCATTTTTAAAATTTGGGATAATGTTGAATATTTATATCCGTATTTCCCTGATGCTCAAAAATAGGTTTACATTTTTTGATTTCAGTCTGTGCAAAATTCAATACCAATAACTTATTTATTCGTACATCAGCGTTCAAATAGTCAAATGACATTTTTGTGTACGAAAGCACGCTGTGAGAGTTAGTGTATATTTTTATCAGCCTCATCTGATCTGATCCTGATCCTAATCTGATTGATCAAATTCCTGATTAATTATTATTGTGGAATTCCTCAAGAAAGGTAATAAGTAAACAGCAATCAAAGATTAATTAAATAAAAATTTGTTTTTTCAGGTTTATAAGCCCTCGTATTTGCACCATACAAGCCTGTATATATCCTGTATTATATGTCCTGTATTTTCTGTACTGCAATGTAAGGACGAGTCAAGAAACTATTCCCCCACAAAACTCATTAAAAAAATTATCAAAATTCAAAGAAAGGTACGGTGAAATGTCAACTTTATTTAACAAATGTGTTAATTAATTTATAAATTAAAGCAATTACTTTAAATTAACTTTTAGAGTCATTAAGTATTTTAAGAAAATTCTGAGTCAAGTCTGCAATTATTCGAAACGAAACGAAAACTTATATCGATGTTTAGAAAATTCAAGTAGATTGAGGTTGTTGTGAGTCAAGTCTGTATATTTTTTAGAAACTAACATAAATCTATTAAATTCTATGTATAAGTTGTATGTTCATATTAAGAAAGTTTAAGTGGATTGATATTATACCAAGCCTGCCTACTTTTTAAGAAACTAACACAAACTTATTAAATTTATTTAATAATATATATTACATATTTAGGAAAATATCATAATATTGAAAATTGATTGTAACCGATTTAATTTAATAAAATAAATAAATTAATAAAGGAAAACATATATATATTAAGAATTTATATACTGTCTCAGATAGGAAATAGATTAGTATGATGAAAAAGTCCTGTATATCATGAGTATATTTTAACCTACTATAAAAAGTCAAGTTATGGACTGATGAAAATTTATTATCTTATATTATATATTAATATAATATAATTATTGATTCATCCGTACTATGAGCTATCACCTTCTTTGTAAAAGAATTGAATTAAATGTTTTATCTCAATTGCTTGCAAAAACAGCATTTCTGTAGTTGTAGGTGCTATCAACCAATTAAGAAAGTATCGAATATTTGTGATAGAAAACAGAAAATTTGTATGAATTTTCATTTCACTTAAAACTATTTGAGACATTCTTAAAAATGTATGTATGAAACAGATTTATTCATTCTTTTAAAATATTTATCTCACAAGAAAATCAATAAGTAGGGCACCGAGTCTTTATTATTTTAATGATAAAATTTTAAATAATATATTTAAAAAGATAAAATATTATAGAAAAATGCTTCGTTTTGAAAACATTTGAACCTCGACAATATGTAGAGTACCATTAAAAAATTAATTTTGAAATGTTTTGCATTTAAATATCGAAGAATTTGTATAGAAAAATTCTTTCCTAAGGGATTAAAATGGATTCCACAAAACCACTTCCAAATCTAAAAATCAGAATGGATGAAGAAAATATATATGTATGTAATAAAAAAAAAAAAATAATATAAAAATATAAAAAATTATATACAATTATATATATATTTTACATTTAGTGAAATCAATGACACTGCAAAACGAAAACAATATAGAATTTGTCAAAGCACGGGTTCCTCAGGCACGGAGTAGCCCAAAATTTAAATTGGTTGACAATGTTTCTAGGCGTGGATAGCGAAAGACATTATCAGTTAATCCAAAAGCTATATTTAATAATAAATTGATGACATCAAAATAGAACAAAAAGTGGAAACGTGGTGTTTATAAGAACGATATAATTCTTTAAATCGTTAAGTGAAAAACGTTATGAACAAAAAGAATTTTGAATGTTTAACCGGCCCCCACTAGACGTCGAAGTTGATCAATAACAAGATGGAAAGACCATATCTATGAGACGGGGTAGAATTCTTTATTTCGTTAATAGAAGACTTTATCAACAAATCTATCAAGTTTTTACTATTTTCAACAATTTCAGTCTTAATTAATGACAGCACAGTAGACCAGAATAAAAAGGAAAATATAGTGTTTATAAAAACGGGTAGAGTCTTTTATATCGCTAACTGAGAGATATCAGTAAATCTAAAAAGTATTTTGACTGCTATATCGATGACAACCAAACATGGAGGTAGATCAAAAACTGAAGGGAAAGATAATGGTTCCACTAATGTATTTAAGCTTAATATAATTTACTGAAATATGCTATTAGCAAAAATAATTCTATTCACAGCACATTATTGACTTATGGTGGGACTTTGGGGCAGCGTACCGACCAACAAATGGCCCCACTAAAGTGAAGGATTAGCCGAAGTAGATTATGAAATGACTTGGGTCGTTATTGAGTTAAAGCTGGAGTGGCTTCCGTTTGCATAACTACATCTCTTGTTAATGCAAGCAGATCATTTAGCTTGAGGTTGCCTGCCAAGTCATCACCAACTCAATGGTGTCCCAAGACATTCTTCCTTCTACTTGCCAGTGCTGGATATTGGCACAATATATGCACTGCTGTCTCCTTTTCTTCTAGACATAGTCTGCAAGTGTCTTCCTCAGCAAGAGTTATCTTTTTGAGGTGATACTTGAAGTTGCCATGTTCAATAGTTAGTGAGGTCACCCAGCTTAGGGTGCTCCGCGGATAGCTAAGCACTTTTATCGTTTCCCTGTCCCACCGCATCACATTATTGGTCGTTGATATTATATTTTATTATATTTTTTTATATATTTATTTCTTTGATTTTACAAAATAATTTGTTTTTATGAATGGCATTTTCACAACCTCAGCCGCATACAATTTGTTTCGAATCTTCAACTGCACATTTGTGCCTGCAGCTGCGAACTGATTATCAATGTAACCCATGGCAACATTTTTACACAAACTCGGACTTGGACAGCCGCTGGTAACTTGGCCAATTAATTCCTCATTATGGTATATTTGGGCATCAGTGCGTGCTGGTGGCGTATCTGAACCACCTAACATCAACAATCCAGCACGACGCTTGGAAACGCCTGTGGCAATTTGATTTTGTACTGTGTGCGCGCCTGGATAATTTAATTCAGCACGGCGACGTTTGGCTATGAAATGAGGTTAGTGAGAAAAATGCAAGCAAATTTTGTTTTAATTAAATTACTTACCTACTAGCCATGTTAGATCCGCTTCGATAGGTGTAGTTTTATTATTAATATCTTTACCATATAAACAAAGACCTGCTTCGAGACGCAAAGAATCACGTGCGCCTAATCCTGCCAACTTAAGTTGTGCCTCCGTGTTGCTATTTAGAAGAGCTTCAGTTAATTGCTGTACATGTGTTGATGGAACAGATATCTCTATACCGTCTTCACCTGTGTAACCACAACGTGTGATACGACAGTTTGGTATGCCTGCTAATTCACTGTTAAATGTCTCCATAAATTTGACCTCATCCATGTTAATATTTTTTGGCAAGAGTTTTGCAATTGCCGCAACAGCTGTGGGGCCTTGTACAGCTATCAGTGATTGATCTGTAGGAGTTAGAAACTCTATGCTAACATCACGACGGTCCGATTTGTAATTAGACTGTATAGTTAAACGATTATTAAAAAAGTAATATTAATTTAAAGCATATGAGTTCAAGATAATTTTAGATTCGTAAACGAACAGTATTTTTAACCTATAACCTATGTATGAGAATGTCTATAAGAGGTGGGTGAAATTTCTAATATGCATAAAGGGTAACGGGGCAATCCTTTTAGAGATTATATTTAATTGAACTGTCTCTACACAAACATAAATACTTCGTAATTCGTAATGAGAATGTTCCATCAAAACTTGCGAACCCGCTAATTGATTTAAGGGACTGAGTCACCACGTGAACTAAACAACCAAGATAATGATTATTGGTGGGGTAAGGGTACTTAAAACATGATACTCTTCCAAAGGCACAGTGGAATTGGGCTCAGATGAGAGTGTGTCTTTGAATAATTGAATAAATGTGTGACTATATTAGGAGAAATATTTTAGTTAAAGCTCAAAAAAGACAAGTTTGGCCAGCCCATGGCACTGTACAGATCATGGCCCATAAGAGTCGTTTTGCAATGTGTCTCGGTAATTCAGTGAAAATATAACATCAATGTGATAACTCTAATGTGTTTCTACCTCATTAATATTTCGTATTTTGTTGATTCACATTTTGTCACTTTACAATATTGTTTCTTATTTTTATTATTAAAAAGATTGCCTATCATTTTCTTATTTATGAGGATAAGAATCATGTAGTTTTATCTTAATATATCCTTAGACAAAACTATTATTGTAATACTCAAATGTTTGTTACTACAAGCTATGGGTCTACAGACCTATATACGCTTTCTACTTTTTGTGGTACAAAACAAACCTTTTTGTTTATTTTTAGGGCTTCTAAAACAATTTTAATATTAAATTTTTTGCAATATTAAATATACGTCAAATATAATATAAAAATCTCAAAACTTGGATAATTATAATTTTTGAAAAAGATGTTTTTATTAAACCTACATAAAACTATTCAATCTACTACAATATATAGTACGACATTATTTTCAAAAAATCTCATTCTAGACCTATATTTTATCTTGTAGCTCTATCACGTTAAAAGAATTTATATACTCACAACTGCATTTTCCATTATTTGCATATCCTGTTCCTTCATTGCTGCGTTCGATACGATATACAGGCACTCATCACTTAATTTCATTATAATTAGATCATCCAGTATGCCTCCATTTTCATTAGTAAATACAGTTAAAGTACCACGACCATTCTTTTTGATGCCTTTCAAGTCCGCCGTGCAAATCGATTCAATGCACGAAATGCAATGCTTACCTAAAACGAAATGGGAAAGTTATATTCAGTCCACATACCCCTTGACATAGACAAATCAGTTTTAGCTGTATTGTTCTACTTATATAATCCCTTATATATCATCTACTTACATATATATCATCAAATATATATCTCAAATTAGTACTAATTTTGTTTTCTTACCATGTACATAAGTTTGCAGCATATGAGATACATCGAATATTGAGCCAAATTTGCGAGTATGTAAGTGTGATGCCTTGATGCTCTGATCTGCGTACTGAACCGGCAAGGCATAACCACCAAAATTCACAATTTTGCCATTATTTTTTACGTGGAAATCATATAAAGCAGTCCGTTCCGGAGTTTTGGATTCAGCGGAATAAGAGCGATTATTTTGAACAGCTGCCAATGGATAATTTTTAATTTGAAATTGTGATTTACTAACGCCAGTTAATTGTCTAGTAACAGAGACAAAATAATTTTGTAATTTATTCATTTTTATTTAAATTCACTATTTAAGCGGTACCAAATGCAGTAATGAGATACTTGAAGTCTGAACGCTTATCAGCTACTAAAATGGAAGCAACTAAAATTATACAAAATATTTTTTAAAATCGAAAATACTCTTGACTACAATATTATGTGTGTTTATTAATCTTCAAAATATCGTTCTTAATGTGCGTGAGCGATAACCCCCCGCTGTGATGATCATCTTAAACGCGAGATAGAAATTAAAACCGATAAAAATTCAATAGCTTAGACAGAGTATTTTTCACACTGTGAGGGTGTTAATGAGAGTAAATCTGAGTGAATTTCAAACAAACATATATTATCATTAAATATTAATTTAATAGAGTTGAACGAGTATATAATATTATTCTTCAGAAAATAAACCAAGCTGAAAGCGATTCTCTCAATCTTTCAGTTTTTATTGATAAGACAACATCAGGTCTTATCGAAACATAAAATATATTTGTAGTGTGAAGTACCACATATTTCATAATACTATTAAAAAAAATTATAATAATTATACCCCAGTAAAATAATTATATGTGCAGTACTTAAAATCTAATTTAAACTCCAACAAATTTTGTTAGGGTGAATTTAGTTTATTATTTGTTTTTATGTTTAGTAGTCTAATTAAAATAATAAAAAAATTTTATTCAAATTAATTTTTTTTAAGTGAAAAATTAACTTTATTTTAAATCTTCATAGAAAATATTTATATGTGCAATTCACATTTTTTGCTAAAAACAATTAATTATTTTATGTGATTCAATTTTTTTTGTTTTTCAATAAGATAATGTGTTTCCATTATTTATTTTTATTAACTGTATCCTATGTGGCATTGAATCTACCAATTTTTTTAATAGTAGGAGGTCAATTTTGGCCCATTCGTCCAGTATGTCCTTTTTCAGCTCTTTAAGAGTATCGTATTGCTTCGAATAAGCATAAATATTGACACTAAGAATACCCCAAAGATTCTCTATTGGATTTATGTCAGAACTCATAGCCGGTCAATCTAGCAATGAGATGCTTCTCTCTTCAAATAATTTCTTTGTAGCACAAGAAACATGTATTGGAGCATTATCCTGTTGGAAAGTCCAATTATCTCCATGAATATTTTCACCAAAATTTATCAGTTCACTATCCAACAGATTTATGTATATTTCCGAATTCATTTTTGATGGTACGAAGCATATATTAGACTTTCCCTTCGAGCTAAAGGCAGCCCACACCATTAGTGAACCACTACCATGGTTGCGTTTGTTGCAATTCTGACGTGGATGACAAATATCTCTCCAATATTTATGTTGACCATCTGGACCATCTAGATTAAACTTTTTTTCATCACTGAAAACAACTGTTTCGAATTCTTCGTCCCAAAACTTATATTTGTCATGAAAAGCTAAACGAGCATTTTTATGTCTTTGTGTAAGGCGCGGTTTGGGAACTTTCGACTCATATTTTAGCTTTAAGTCTTTTTTCATAACTTGTTGCACGCATTGCCTAGTGATAGACAAATCTAATTCATTTCTCTTTGTCTGCAACTCATCCTCTCATTGGTAGCAAGAAGCTGAATATGCCGTTTTGTTCGGTTGTTAATAGTTGGTAAGCGGCCGCCTCTCTTATAACACCATATTTTTCGAGATATTTTAATAAGTTTATTATAGTATTCAGGTGTCTATAACCAGCAGCAGATATTTCGCCACATTTCATCCCAGCAAAACTCATTCCAATAATCTTTCCGCACTCTTCACTTGAAAATTCCGTCCCATGCGGCATTTTTTATCTAAATTAATTAAAATAATAAATATATATTAATAAATAATAAGTATTTTACTTACCAATTATTCTTTGCTCTTCAATACTTTAAAAAAAAAACTTTATAATACACTTCACAACTTTATTTCCATTTACTGTTGACACTTCGAGAAGCAAAACAATTTTGCACATATAATTATTTTCTATGAAATTTGCTACCTATTGTTATTAATTATGATAACGGTACCACAAATAGTATACAAAAAAAACTCCATATATGGTCAGAGAAGTTAAACTCAACTACAGAATCAACTGTATATAAAAAAAATTAGTACCATTATTCTAAGAAGAGAATAACGAAAAACAAATTTTGCACATATAATTATTTTACAGGGGTA